ACTACTACTACTACTGCTACTGCTACTACTACTACTACTACTACTCCTACTGCCACTACCACCCCAGCTACAACTACAGTTGCAACTACACTGCAATGCACTGCACTACGCTAATTAAACTGCAGCACACTACAACTAAAAATAGAACTACAGCTTCACCACATTACACAACGCTAGACTACACAAACTACATTACATTACACAACTTCAACTACAACTGCAGCTGTAAATACAATTACAACTACCACTACATTGCACTACACTACAACTACAACTACAACTACAACTACACTACACTACACTACACTATACCACGCTACAGTACACAACACTACAGTACACTACAATACACTACACTAATTACACCACATCACAACTACACTACAACTAGAACTGCAACTACACTAACTACACTACATTGCAACTACAACTTACGACTACAACTTCACTACACTACACTACAGCTACAACTGCACTACACCACACTGCATCGAGCAGGTGTGATGAGATGACAATTGCAACCATTGCAACCACTCCAAAATCACAACTCCAACCACCTTTCGGTCCATCAGTGGCTTCCCTCTGCCATCCGTGAGTCACAACAACCAACCTCCCCTATAGGTTTCCTATTTTTGAAACTTCCGCCACCGCCTTGTGCGGTAGTACTGGTATCACGGACAGGAGCAAGGAAGGAAAGGCCGAGGGAAAGAGATTCAATCAGATGGTTGCAAAGTGGCTCAACCGAAGCTCGTTCGGTTGGGGCGCTTTGTATTTGGCAAGTAGGGCACTAGGAGCGTAATGTTGACGCTGGTATGCTAGGGGGCGGGCTGTGGAATGATTATGGTGCATGCGAGCTAGAATATAATGATGCGCTGCTGGTAGCGTGTCAGCAACATCGACTGGTAGTTTGTTCGCACCAATATTCTTTCAATACACGTCTTTCCTTTCCGAGCCGGCTTTCGTCCTGATCCCTTTGGCCTCAACTCACTTGGCAGCAGGCGGAGGCATTGCTGCGGCAACTTGTGGGCCAGGACGAGGCCAGAAGCAACTCAGCAGTGGCACAACTTCAGCAAAGTTTCAGAACAATTTCTTGAAAAATTGGCAAAAGAAGATGACAGGATTCTTGATTTTGGACAGTTTGTGACATTTTGTGACCTGTGACAGACCCTTCATCTTGTGACATCTTGTGACACGCGACACCAAGCGCAGGAAACGTGGGAACAGACCTTGGCAAAGCGGGCAGCGACGGCAAGAGCACGCTACGCAGCAACAAAGGCTCAATCGATCTCAATCGATCTCAATCAGCTCAACGTGATGAGACACGCATTAGACACTGAGACAGAGATAGACTCTGAGCTAAACAGAGATTCGCAAAAATGACAAACTACTCTCAGACCATTTCAGCCGTTTGTGACTTTGTGACACCCTTGCCATAATTTGTTACTTTAAACTTTGAGTAAATTCTGTTTTTACGTTGGTTAAAAATTGAAGTCTTTATAAGAGCAACTCATGAGTTTCTTTCCTGTGATAGATGGTCCGTTAAAATCAAAGTCTACCCAAAAACTTGCTGCGATCTAGGACCAATTGATTGCAACCATGAGGCCGTTTCATTAATTCTGTTGAAGTACCTTGAAGGAATGCGGTGGGGCCCTGTGGGTTTTGTCAAAGCATGTAACGTTCTCGTTACTGCGAACAGATTTGCATGATGCAGGCGCAACTGCTCGCCCTGGACACAATGGAGTCACCTGTTCGCTCTGCTTCCAAGAAGGAGCATGCGGGCTGAAGCTGTGAAGCCATTGGCAACTGATGAAACAGAGCGGATTGCAAAGCTTCAACCGTCTCAATCCGCATCCTACACTGGAACAGCAAAGCTGTGAAGCCTTTAAATTCAAAGAACTGCAAGGCAAAAAGCATTTAAAAAACATTCCAGCACCATGCACTAGACAAGTACTTTTCTCCTGTGGCAGGAAGCATTGAAACGCTACAGGGCACGCACAGCTTCCCCGGCGCGGTCTATGTCAGATTTGGCACGTGCCATAGCTTAATTCTAATATGACAGGACCCTGCAGGACATAGGATGGATATGGATAGAGATGGATGGAGTGCACTAAGGCAAGGGGACTTTAAGATACTGTAAGTACATCTGTGCTGTACATGTAAGTACTCATACCACAGGATCCTGATAGATACAGATGTTTTTACCGTTGCATACAGTGATTTTCATGCTAAGGCCCCAGGGTTCCCTCAAGAAGCTGGTGAATTTTTGTATTTTTTGAACACGGTGAAGACAAGACCACGGGAACTCATGTAAGGCCAAGCTAGTGATCCATTTTGGTAAATGCAGTCATTTAATGTTATATATTGTATGTAAGTACATATCGTATGTATATATTATATACTGTATATATATATATATATGTCCAATTATGTACAAATAATATACATTGATAGACACCTCACCTTGTATCATTGTACCCTTCTTTTATCGATAATATAAAGGGCTACGCCCCTGCCGCCCACCCCTAGGCCAGGAGGCCTGGGGCATGCCATTGAGGGATATTGAGGGAGCGGCTGCGTCTGCCTAACGCCGCTTTCTGAATTGACAAGAAACCTTCAAGCCTCCAAAACGCTGGCTTCGCCATACCAAAACACCATGCCACTCAGGGACGGACCAAGCCTTCGGCCTGCGGCTGCCTTTCTTTCTGAACCGACAAGAAGTTAGCTCCAAATTGCAGCCTTCAAGCCTCCAAAAGGTTGGCTTTGCCACACCGAAGCACCACGCCACGCCACTGAGGGACGGACCAGGCCTTCGGCCTGCAGCTGCCTCTGCCTGACGTCCTTTTTTGAACCGAGAAGAGACTAGCTCCAAATTGCAGCCCATCATCTTCTTGCCTATTCCTTCATGCTTCCTCGTCTTGCTTGCTTTTACCTCTTGCCTCTTGCTTCTTGCTCCTTTCTTGTTTCTGGCTTCTTGCTCTATCTCTTCTCCTCTTGCCTCTTGCTTTCTATAGCTTCTTGCTCCTTCTCTTGTCTTCTCCGACGCGCTCCCCCTGCTATCAGCACGGGACGGCGGATAAAGCGTAAGACTGGTTGCGTTTGCCGCATGTTTTCCAACTCCCCTCCCAGCCATTAGACGATGTGCACCAAGGTTCGCCAAGTCAAAGTCGCAGCAAGATTGGCAGGGAGCGGGTTGAAGCTGAGTGGACCATATGGCTTCATCGAAGGAAGTTTAGAAGTCAAACTTCCGACAATATGGACAGATGAAAAGCAGAGCAGGGCAGAGGCAGAGAGAAGAGAAAGATTAGAAGAGAGAAGATCAGAGAAGAGAAAGAGTCAGAAGAAAGAAGATGCAGATGCGCGAAAAGGTAGGAAAGTCGCCAAACACTGTGTTTTCCCAATGATTTGGGGCTCCGGAGGGTCGAAAAGTAGGCTCGCTAAAGCGGCGGGTGTGGAGCCAGCTGGCCAGATGAGAGATGAAAAAGTGCCCGCCGTTGTGGCGCGAACCACATTTGCAAGTCAAAATGTAGAAAACACACCAGCGTCGGACCACTTTCGGAAGTTGAGATGTCGAAAAAGTGCACGCCGTTGTGGCGCGAAGCACATTTCGAAGTCAAAATGTACAAAACACCTCAGTTCCGGACCACTTTTGGAAGTTGAGATGTCGAAAAAGTGCACGCCGTTGTGGCGCGAAGCACATTTCGAAGTCAAAATGTACAAAACACCTCAGCTCCGGACCACTTTTGGAAGTTGAGATGTAGAAAAAGTGCACGCCGTTGTGGCGCGAAGCACATTTCGAAGTCAAAATGTACAAAACACCTAAGCTCCGGACCACTTTTGGAGGTTCAGATGTCGAAAAAGTGCACGCCGTTGTGGCGCGAAGCACATTTCGAAGTCAAAATGTACAAAACACACCATGTACGGACCAATTTTGGAGGTTCAGAAGTCGTTTTGCGTGGCAGGCGCAAGGGACTGTGGACCTTGTCAAAAGTGAGCAAAACGTGCGGGTTTTGTGGCATTTTCAACCACAACTACCACTACACTCCAATACATTACACTACAACTACAACTACAACTACACTTCACTACATTCTACTACACTACACTCCACTACACTACACTGCACTCAATTACATTCAATTACATTACACTACATTACACTACACTCCACTACACTACAGTACACTACACTACACTACATTACACTACACTACCTTCCACTACACTACATTACACTACACTACACTCCACTACACTACATTACACTACACTACATTACACTACACTCCACTACACTACACTTCACCTACACCTACAACTACACTCCACTACACTAAATTACTCTCCACTACATTACACTACACTACACTACATACCACGACACTCCACTACACTACACTACATTACAATGAATGACACTGCACCACAGATAGACAGGTACACAGATAGATAGATAGATCGATAGATAGATAGATCGATAGATAGGTAGATAGATAGATAGATACATAGACAGATAGACAGGTAGACAGCTAGACAGATAGACAGATGAAAGAGAGAGAGAGAGAGATAGATAGATGGATGGATGGATAGATAGATAGATAGGTAGATAGATAGATAGATCGAAAGGTAGTTAGATGAGAGAGAGAGAGAGATAGATAGATAGATAGATAGATAATAGGTAGGTAGGTAGGTAGGTAGATAGTCAGAGAAAGAGAGAGAAAGAGAGGAGACCTCAACGACCTTTCGGGCCATCAGTGGCTTCGCTCTGCCATCCCTGATTCACAACAACCAAGCTCTCCTATAGTTTCCTATTTTTGAAACTTCCGCCACCCCCTTGTGCGGTACTACTGGTATGGATTCATATGGGTCAGATTTTGAATCACTCACTTGGAGTTAAGTGCTGTGGTAGTTTTGTTCCTTGGCTTTGAAACTAACATCACTTGGAAAGATTTGAATTGCTCCACGCATTGGGGGCAATAGGACTTGAACGGTGACGCGATGAACAGAGCTGCCACTGAAGCAGCTGTCGGCACCTTGTGGCTGTCAATGAGCCATAGGATATCGTGGGATTGGAGGTTAGAGACGTATAGAGACGTATAGAGACGTCAGGCCAGTGTAACGTCTCTAACAGCAGACTGGAGTCACGTCCGACTCGTTGCAAGGCCGGATCCAGGCTGGATGCGCACAAAGAGGCCGCAGAAGGGAACGGAGTGCATCACTGTGTGTTGAAGAGAGCAGGCTTTGAGAACAGTTGCATGAGGTGAGTTTCACGGGAGACTGCTTCAGACGTTTGGTGAGTTTTTCATGTTTTCGCTGATTTATGAAAATGTAGATATGTCAAGAGACTTTCAGCAAGACCCGAAGAACCGGACTTTCTGAGTTGACGGCTTTCAGCTGACTTCAGCAAAGACCTCAGCCAAAGTCAGTCTATAGTTCCGCATGAAACGGCACAGATCACGCGCTTGAAAGTCATGTCCTTGCACCACAGCGCGGCAAGACGTCAGGAGCTCACCTTTGTCAGCTGGGAAGTACCAGGAAATTTGCGCGAAGGTCACAGGTTGCAACACTTACCTGCGTTTGCCCAAAGCTTCTTTTGAGGCCGGATGATGCAGGCGACACTGAGCAGCGACGAGGAAGACGAGGCAGCTGCTCATTTCGAAAGCATTGAAATCATTCTGGCACGTGATTGAACCTCCCTGCGCCATGCCTGTTGTGGCTGCACCTAGGAAATTGTTACACAATGAATCATCTTCCGGTTATGTTTACAGTGTGTCATCACTTCTGACTCCTAAAAGGTTACTTTGTGGCCCATATTCCCCATTTTGATCCCTTTGCTCAGCCCACATGAATTGACAAGAGCCCCTTGGCTATAGCTGTAGCGGAGTCATAGCCAATGCTCTTGCCATTGCGACAAAGTCTTTGCTCAAATATCTTTCCAACGTATGAGCCTATCAAGTTGTTCTTGTTTTGTACCGTTGTGGGACTGGTACGTCACTGCTTTGTTTTAGACACAGTATCTATACACAATCATGTACATACACAAACATATAAACATAGTATATCATCATGTAATAATATACACGTATTTACTTTTTTAAAAAATTAGCTATTGTCGTTATTTGTTGCCAGTCGCTTTGTGCGTTTCCGTCCAGGCCGGTGGCAAGTCCATCCTGGAATTGGCTGAAGCTTCCAGGAAGATGCAGGACTTCAGAGGCGGCCAGCATGGGAATGGCCTTACCCGGTATGGCCTGAAATATGTGTGTATATACTGTGTACATATGTATACCAGTAGTACCGCACAAGGGGGTGGCGGAAGTTTCAAAAATAGGAAACTATAGGAGAGCTTGGTTGTTGTGAATCAGGGATGGCAGAGGGAAGCCACTGATGGATCGAAAGGTGATTGATGTCTCCTCTCTTTGTCTCTCTTTCTCTGACTATCTACCTACCTACCTACCTACCTACCTATTATCTATCTATCTATCTATCTATCTCTCTCTCTCTCTCATCTAACTACCTTTCGATCTATCTATCTATCTACCTATCTATCTATCTATCCATCCATCCATCTATCTATCTCTCTCTCTCTCTTTCATCTGTCTATCTGTCTAGCTGTCTACCTGTCTATCTGTCTATGTATCTATCTATCTATCTATCTATCTATCTACCTATCTATCGATCTATCTATCTATCTATCTATCTATCTATCTATATCTTTGTCTGTCTGTCTATCTATCTACCTGTCTATCTGCAAGATTGAAAACCAAGCGATTCTGCGAGACTTCTTCATTTTCAAAGTTGACAGCATCAAAAATGAAGCAATTCTGCGAGACTTCCTCAATGTTTGAACTTGACAACGTCAAAAACAAAGCAATTCTGCGAGACTTCTTCATTTTTCAAAGTTGACAACATCAAAAACAAAGCAATTCTCCGAGACTTCCTCAATGTTTGAACTTGACAACGTCAAAAACGAAGCAAGTCTGCGAGACTTCCTCATTTTTCGAAGAAAGTTGACAACATCAAAAACGAAAGAATTCTGCGAGACATTCCTTCAAAAATGGAAAGTTGAGTGCAGAGCTGACGGCCTCGTACCAATGGGTTTTGCATTTTTTCCAGTCCACCTGTCTAAAGTACTGCGCCTGCCACGAAAAAGTGATGCCAGGTCATACGAAGTGCTGCACCTGTCACGCAAAATCATCGCAGCAAACCTGAAGATCTGAGGCTCCAAAATGTAACCCCCCTCAGGAAATCAGCGCCTGGACCTCCTAACAGCTCTGCTGGACATGTCTCTTGTACTGCGCCTGCCACGGAAAATGCATCTTTGCAGAGCCTCTTCAAATGTCCCACGCCTGCGATCGTTTTTGAATGTTTTTGAAGGTTTTGCTCACTTTTGACAAGGTCCACAATCCCTTGCGCCTGCCACGCGAAACGACATCTGAACGTCCAAAAGTGGTCCGAACCCCTAGTGTTTTTCACATTTAAACCTCGAAATGTGCTTAGCGCCACAACGGCGTGCACTTTTTCGACAGCTCAATTTCCGAAAGCGGTCCGAACGTGAGGTGTTTTTAGCTTTTTCACTTGCAAATGTGCTTCGCGCCACAACGGCACGCACTTTTTCGACATCTGAACCTCCAAAAGTGGTCCGCACCTGGTGTGTTTTGTACATTTTGACTTCGAAATCTGCTTCGCGCCACAACGGTGTGCACTTTTTCGACATCTCAACTTCCGAAAGTGGTCCGACGCTGGTGTGTTTTCTACATTTTGACTCGGAAATGTGCTTCGCGCCACAACGGCGTGCAATTTTTCATCTCTCATCTGGCCAGGTGGCTCCGCACCCGCCGCTTTAGGGAGCCTACTTTTCGACCCCCCGGAGCCTCAAATCATCGGAAAAACACAGTGTTTCGCGACTTTCTTACCTTTTCGCGCACCTGCATCTTCTTTCTTCTGACTCTTTCTCTTCTCTGATCTTCTCTCTTCTACTCTTCTCTTCTCTCTGACTCTTCCCATCTCTGCTTTTCATCTGTCCATATTGTCGGAAGTTTGGCTTCTAAACTTCCTTCGGTTATATTTATAGTTACATACACATATAACAGTACTGTTCGAAAATGTGTACCAACCTGGGGGTAGATGCCCTTCACGTTAACTTATAAGGCAGTTTGGTTCTTCGATGCTATAATGATAAATTGTGAATTGTCCCAAAGAGGCAGTCATTGTTTTGCACATCTGTTCGCAGTTCCGGGTGGCGTTTTTTACATAAGAACGCAGGGAGACCAATCAATCCTCAAAGCATAACTTTGAGAGAAGGGGGGAAACGTTTGAAGAATTTTGAAGACAAGTGTTGACATGTACCGGATGTACCGGCACATATTCTCATAGATTCGGGTTCCCATACTCGTTGCAGATTCTCAGACTCATTGGACTGTCTGGGTCGAGGTCCCAGCGAAAGAGTCATTTCCCAAGTGTTGAGCAATGTGAGCAACATGATGTCAGGCCTGGAGAGTGAGGGTGGGAACAGTGACCACTAATGAACAATACAAAATGGTGGAGAAATCGGTAAACAAACAAAGAGACCGCGCATACATCGGCAGATCAAGATATTGCACTTGCAGACTCAGACAAAGGACTTAGAGCGATCTACCGCTTGGAAACTGGTAGAGTAGATTTGTTGCAGTAAGCCCTTCACCCAATCAGACACAACTGCTCTCATCGGAACATCACCACTTGTCCACAAACGATGCTAGTGGCTGGGTACATCAGTTAGATGCTTGCGCAGGCCCTACGGCTTTCTTCGAAGAAGAAGCGCAAGATGAAAAAGTGGCTGAAGTTGCTGCGAAGTGGTTGGGAGAACGCCTCTTGGCAATTGTTGTTTGCTCATTTTGGAAGTGGCTGCGCGGCACCTTCTAACGCTCATATGTTATCACACGTTTGCATGTTTTGCCTTGTGCGTCTTCTGCGTCTTCTGCGTCTTCTGCGTTTGGTTCATGTTGAAATGCGCAACACTTCCAAGGCAGCGACACACAGCCATCCCTTATGGTAGACGCAAGTGAGGCACAAGCAACAGTAGCTGCCTCAGACCGCCAGAAAGCTGACTTCATACCCAGAGCATCTAAGAACCGGCTGAATCCAACAAATTTCTGGCGGTAACAAAGATTGCTCAATTTTGTTGATTTAAGATGATGAACAGATAGAAGAGGTGTCCCATTATTCAAAGGAACGTAAAGGAACAACAGATGGCCAGCCTGCGGTTTTCAGGCATGCCTATTATCAATAGCTATTGCATGCCTGATTCCGAAAGGAGCAATGAGTTTTTTCTTTTCAAACGCAGTGTATAGATAATCTAATGTAGATATATTTTCATATATATGTATATATGTATATATATGTTCTATGTTTATTATGTTTCAGGATGTTTCAAAATGTTTACAAAATCGTAGCATATTTCAGTTTCTAAACGCATCCACAGGGCGAATGCTTCAACCCAGCCTGAGAGCTGAAGGCAGCGCCAATTTCCCACAGCGCATTCCGTCCTTTTCGGAGCCGAAGCAAGGCCTGTCACAGAGCAAACATGCTGAGTTTCCAGTTTTAGAATTTTCTTGAATTGTTTACTTATTTTACAACGTTATAAATATATATATATACACATTGTTTCGATACATTACAATACATGTTTAAGAACAGGGTACAGGGGTGTCAAGAGTCACGACTTCAAAGAGCACAGCGATCGTTTTCACGTCTGAATTCACATGTTTTCACATCGAAACATCGAGCTTCTGCAGGCTCCGAGAAAAATTCGACCTCCTCGACGAACCTCATCAGTCGCAGGCGTGCAGAGCAAAGTGTTTTTCGTTATCTGTTTGATTTGGTCCTTGGATAAACTTAGCAGCGTTGATTAAAACGATTCATTGATATTCATTGTCAATTGTGCAAATCTGTCGTGAAGGACAAGTTGGTGACCTGCACCCCCTCTGTGCACTCGTCATGATGAAAGGCTGATGTGCGCGTACTTGCCAGTATGTGTTGCCATGTGTTGCCAGGAAACAGCACATCCAGCAGTTCCGACTCCGAAGCAACTCGGCTTTGGAGTAGACAACGTGAGGAAGCGATGTATTCCACAATGCAAAATGGTGACAGACAGTTATAGCTCCAACTACAAATTTTGAAGACCTCAGCCTTAACTTTGAATTGCAGTACATGCCGGCCCAAAACAATCATGGAAGCATAGTCAACAGCATGGGAGTGCTATTTTTGGTGGCTGAAGCCCAGGGCCACAGAGGGTCTGACTGGCCGAAGAATGTTTTGGGATCTGAATACTTCGTCTTAGTCTCTTAGTCTTAGGGTGATCTGTCATATTTTTGGGGCTCACGTGTCGCATTGGAGGATTCATGTGAGACTTCCTTGGATTTGCTTCTTCAGGGTTTTCGCTCATCAAGATCAACATCCAGGCCGAGATAGACCGTATGGCTTGGGATAACCAAACACATCTGAATACAGCAACGAAAAAACATGAGAAAAGCATGCTTTTGCTAAGACGGTCTGCTAAGTAAGGCTAAGTATGCAAGCTATCCTTGGACGCATGTGATGAGTCAATACCCTTTTGAACACCCGAAGTTTTTCCTTTTCGATTCTTTAAAAGATTTGGAAGCCAATCCTTTTCTAGTTGTCGCATAGATGTCAATAGTGTTTGTATGTTTTTGTTCATCTTTGTTCTATTGAATATTTAAAGATCTGACTGTGCACAGCGCAGGAGAGAAGGCTCAGCGCATTCGCAGCGTGGTGAGACACTGGCCTTGGTTCGTGATATCTCGGCATGTGGAATGCCAATGAATGCCACATTTTAAGACATTTTAGGGATGTGATTTGTCAGAGCTCTTTGTCTTTCTTTTCCGGGGAAATCAGCCCCTCAAGATTTGCAGTGTACGTTCACTTGTTTCAGCAATCCTGGAGCGTTTTCCAAGGAACGATCACTTTCGAAATGTGTCATATTTCATCGACTTGATGAATGAGAGCCTTAGATTTGCATTTCAGACTTGAGGACACTTCAATCAGTCCAATTCTGTCCAACCATGCCAGGAAAGCAAAACGGAAACAAGGAACAACGGCATAGAAAGGCCAAAGGCGATCTAATCATATCTAATCATTATTTTCTTCACAGATTCCTCAAGGGACCAGAATTTAGGGAAACGGATGTAGACAGGGAGATGCACGAGAAGCAGAAGCATAAAAAGCTCGGCATCGGCTCATGGCTTTGCCAAGGAACGACCACAGGAAACGCAGCAAGAAACAGAGCAAGCGACGTCGAAAGGCGCTCTGAGACATGACAACATCATCAGCAACTTTGGTGACAGATAAACTTTAAAAATGAGGGTTGAAGAAGTTGAAGATATTAAAATTAGATAAAACTAGCTTAAGGATTGACATTGATTGAAACGATAAGAATTTGGAGCTGTAGCTTTCAAGGAGGTCACTGTTTTCAAGGAGGTCACTAGGTTTGGGGTACTCTGAGCATCTCTGAGCCTGATTACTCTATTTGCTCTGGGCTCAACATGGCTCAACATGGCTCGACATGGCTCGACATGGCTCGACATGGCTCAACTAAGTCACTAAGTCGCTTCAGGCGCGCGAACGTCAGAAAAAGTCTGGTGCCCAGTCAGGCAAACACCTGGAATGGCTATAAGTTGTGGCCATGTCAACCGGATTCAACCGGGTAGAGTTGCCTGACCTTGACCTTCCCCAAGCTGACCAAGAAGCCTATGACTTCTGGTTGATTCTGCAGGCATACAACGACACATTGAATGATAGTCTTGGCAAAGTGTCCAAAGTACAGAATTTTCCTCTCGCGTATCATGTTTGACCTTTCAACAGACGCTGCAGTCTTGGTCGAGGCAAGCAACTCGTGCTGATTTCCGCTGGAACTCGCACATGTGGAGGTTGATGGAGTTACAACTAGACAATCCAAGGCAGGTACTCTGTCAACATCAGTGATCAGTTTTGCAATCATAATACATCCATATGTGATGATGATGATGATGATGATGATGATGATGATGATGATGATGATGATGACCGACTCTATATGGTCGTATAGCCCCAGCAGGTGGATGGGTAACCTCTTTGCAAGGCCCATTGCGCACAAAGTTCGTGCTGCTCATAGCATTGCCACCCACACCGGGCCGGGAACTTATTTGAGCACGAGACTCCAGTCTCTTGGTAAGATGGAGAAACAGGAACTCCCAGACAATGATAAAATGTGATAAAATGAACCAGAGATGCCTGCGCTTGATTTGCGCACTTTGTACGGAGAAGGTCGAGGGGATCGGGATAAGGCTGATAAGGTCCCAAGGCAAGGGCCTTGGGGTTATCTTGTGAACATACTACTAGTACGTGTTATATTTTCTATTGCTTCACTTGAACGGAACGGCCATGGACATGGAGCCAACGTGTTCGAAGTGGTCGCAAAGGCAATAGTTGCAGGTGGTACCTCTTTACGTTCTTCACACACTCATATCCTTCGGAGCTCATTAAGAAATTCGAGAAGTTGCTATACAGTAGCTATTATGTTTTAATTTCTGTTTTCGTCATGCAAGCGATGCAAGGAGCGATGAAGATAAAGCTTCGCACAGCCCACGGCCACGAGCTTAGCACGAGATAAGCACGAGTTTATTCGGTCAAGGTCCATGGCGCTTTGCCAATCCTTGCAGGTTCCTTCAAGCACGCACGCCGCAACGAAGAAGGTGCCACAAGAGGGCCAGCGCACTGGGAGAAGCGAAGAGAGAACAGACGTGATCTGGGAGAAAGATAGAATAAACATGACTAAACGAACAAAAAACACAACAAGCAGATACTAGTACGCAGAGATATAAGGGAAGAAGTGGACAAACTGGCAGAGGAGGCGCCAAGATCAGAAAATATAACATAATATAACATCATATAACATCATATAACATCATATAACATAATATAACATCATATAACATCATATAACATCATATAACATAATATAACATCATATAACATAATATAACATAATATAACATAATATAACATAATATAACATCATATAACATCATATAACATCATATAACATAATATAACATAATATAACATAATATAACATAATATAACATAATATAACACAATATAACATAATATAACATAATATAACAATGTCTCTGTGCGACACGTTTATCAGTAAAACATTGCAGCTAGATTCGACAATGAAAGGCAGGTGTCCGCGGTGGTGTGGATGGTGGCGCCCTGCAACTCAGTGCGACTCACTTCATAAACTGTGTCATTCCATGGCATTCTGTGGCATTCTGTGGCCAGGGGCAGGACACCCAGAAAGCGGATCGACGAGGCGGGGACGGAGTGCTAGAAAGCGGATCGAACTAACTTTGCCTTTGCATTTTGCTTGTCGTGCCCTCATTATCCTGCATAGGCATGATACGTCTCCCCTCCAGTTCCGAGATTCCAGTTCAATTTGGGCGTTTGACTTCATCAGATGCGGAAAAGGAAGGAGAGTGTATTATGAGATGTTGCTCTGTCGGGTTTTGCAGGGGCGGACTGACACTCAATTGCTCGAGCCCAAGACTTGACTTCTGCGTTGACTTTGCAATCTCCTTCACGCTTACTGTAATAGCCGAGGAGGCAAGTCGAACACCCAGGACGATAGATGCACCATGACACAACATCAACAACTTCTCTGTTCAGCCTACAAAGCTATCTTTAAATGTCGAAAGATTTTCTCATGTTTTCTCCATGTTGGAGGGGAAACGCACGCAATGCCTGGCGCTGAGATGCAGATCCTGAAAGTTTTTTGGAACACGTTTGAGCACGTTTTTTTGAATGTAGATGAATGTAGACCCAGAGTGAGGGTCTGAACATAGATGAAACACTTCGATCACAAGAAAGTTTGATCGCAAGAGAAAACCTACACCCGAAAAGAAGGGATCCAATTGTAGAACCCAAAGTGTTCGTTCCAAGGATCGGGAAGGAGAAGCAGGTGGGTCCTTGTCAGGGAAAATTCTGGTAAGAACTCCGTAATTAGTGCTATAGAATGGGTTTTGCCATTCACGATGCAGCACTCGGCTTTCCAAAGAGGTGCGAAGGTGGGCAGTTTCATTGATTGCGGAGTTTTTTTTTGTTTTTGGGCAGGCAGATTCTGATGCAGCCCTTGACTTGAGCCCGAAGAGCGTGCAGATCAAGCTCGAGGAAGGTCGGCGGCTGATTCCCTTTATCCTTCATCACTTTTCTTCATCAAGGGCACAGAAAAGCAGATCGCAACTCTGGAACTTGGCCCAATCATTAACCTCAGAACACAACTGGAGTGTGCTTCAGCTGAACTTCAGCATCACTTTCAAATCCTTTCCTTGTTGATCCTTTTGGATCCTTTTTCTTTCACCACTCAGGTGGCTGGACGCGTTTGCCAGCTATTTCCCGGCGGCTTTCGGTGCGCTCCCTATTGTCCTATCTCTTTGGCCCGCTGTACAAACTGTTTGGCTGTAAAGGTTCTCCCGACTTACTGTGCTGTACATCTCCCTTTAGTGGTGGAAGTCTTTCAGCAAGTTCAGAAACTGTAGAAAGTCATGCCAATCTGTGAGATTGATTGCGCTGGCTGCGGACAACACAGTTCAACACTAAATACATACAAAATACATCAAAATACGGGTTCTGGTTTCCAGTGCTCTATTGGCTTTTTCCTGCTTCTTGTCGCTTTCTGCATGGAGCTCATGACGTCATTTCCATATTGCAGAAAGTCTTCAATCCTCTCACCAGTCTCTTGAGAATTAAGCACGGCATGCTGCAAGCGCAGCACAGCTGAAAAATGCAGAAAAGATGTGGCTTAGCACACAGCAATACACAGCAATACACAGCATGTCAGGATGCGAGGCGTGCATCTGCTTCATCCGAGTCGACCAGCTGCTGCCTCAGCATTCGCGGGCCTGTTCTGAAGTCCGTAAAGATGAAATAATTCGATATGACTGATATGACTGTGACTTATTCATGACACATGTATAGAAATATGATGAAATATGTTGCACTTGTTTTCAGGCCGGTGTATGAGGACAGTGTACAATTTTGAAGTCTATTCGCAAATTCGTGATTCCGAATTCTTCCGAATGCGTTGCATTTCTTCTCTCTGCATCATCCCGCGCTTGGCCGCACAGGCCTACAATCTCCATGGTGGGGAAGGAATGGGCAGTGCTGCAGCTGCAAGCAGCGCAAGCTTTGGAAACCAAGTGGGGTGAGGGCAAACTAGCTGGAATTCCATGTTGGTCTTTGGATCCTTGAGCGCTTTTTGATTTGCATGATTTGCGAGGCGCCCACAACGATTTGGTGCAAGCAGAGCTCTTGACTAAGCCAGCATGATGAATTAAGTCACATTGAGTCACATTGCTGTTTCTGGCGATATTTGAAGTCATAAAATGTCATAAACTACTGTGCAAACGAGGGGAACTGGGGTGAATTTCTTAATGATTACTCAGGCTCGTGTGGACGTATCGACGAGCGAGGCCGACAGGCGGCAGCTTGCAGTTCTTTTCCGCTTGCATCTTGCATTCACACGCGATTAGATTCAAAACTCGCAGCCTTGGCGGGTGATATGCCATCGGGTCTATAGTTTGTGCTGAAGTTGCCGCAATGGCTTTCTGCCTTGTGAGGCTTATTGAGCAATTGCTTTCAACCACCACGCGCAGCTAACAATCAGTTTTGATAAAGAGGCATCAGCCAACATTTGTCCTCCTCCGCATCCTCCTCCTCATCATCCTCATCCTCATCCTCATCATCATCCTCATCCTCATCATCATCCTCATCCTCATCCTCATCATCATCATCATCATCATCATGATCCTTATCCTCATCGTTGTTCTCCACCTCCTCATCCTCGTGCTTGTCCTCACCACCATGAAACGAGCAGAGTCCTTCTGATTTCTGGACCTGGAACAGGTGTGATTCATCATTTGAATTCATTTGAGCAATGTTGAGCGGAATGTGAATGGTAACGGTTTGCCTAATCATACTTGCTGTCTATCACAGTCCACTGTCATACTTCATACATCTTCATACAAATTGGACGGTGCGGAGTCAATCTAGCAAACATCGACATATGGTGTTGCATGATTCTCCGTGGCACGCAGCGCAATGGTCTTGTCAGCACAAAGAGACCCATTCACTGCACAATCTGCACAATATTGAACTTTTTTCGCGCAACCCTAAGTATTCACTCGAAGCTGTTAGTTTTTTGTTTCTGCCAACGACAATGGTTGGCCAGCAATTCCTCTAGCGTGATTTGGCAACTACAAAGTATGCGTGCTATTGCGTGCTTGATTCAGGCAGCTTTTTGCGCAACATATCTGGAAATATTTGGAATCATTTGGAGGTTTTCCATGCTTGACACCCCTTGGGCTGCGAATGCCAGCAGCGCCTGCTCCAGGGACCGCCTGCGTGTGCAGCAGTGGGACGGAACCTCACAATCAAGCATTCCATGTACGCAATCAATTTAGCATTTGGATCATTTGACATGAAACACGGATTTGAGGCGCATTCACGCATACTGTTACGGTCTGTGCTTGGCTGAGGCTGAAGTTGGGGCCCTTGCAATGGGCCTTCCGCAAAAGTGGTCATACCAGGCTTGTTAAATTTGTTAAAGCTTTTTGCGGTGGCCATGCCGCTGAGTTGCGATGTGGAGGTTGTTCGCATATGATACGTATGTCACCGTATGTCAAACATATTCTTGGCCAGCCAGCTGTTGGTCTATGTTGTTTTCGGGGCTTCTGTGCGGGCCAGGCCAGGGCATGAACATGCTGCAGAGCGCCCAAAAAGCAGCTAATAGAATGGGCGAGCGATTGATCAATGCGGGCTGAATATAATTGTCTAAGACATGGCCATGTTTATTAAGATGCTTGAGTTTATGAAGACTCTACTGCACCTTTGCATGTGAAGGATTCACAAGCTAAAAAAGAACAGGGGAAAAGAGTTTTATGTGCTTCATTGGCTTCAAACAGTGTTTTTTTTAACGTACAGTTCGATTTAAGCAATAGTTGAAATTCGCAGGTGACGGGAAGAAATTCTGTATTATTCTGTATCTAGAAATGTTCTTAAGGGAGAATCTCTCGTCACACTCATAAACAAATGCGACACTGTAGCAATGCCACGGCAGGAAGAGAGGTCGGGCAGAACTGGTGGACCTCTACCATATTTGAATGTAATTTTGACCAAGCTTGGTCAATTGCCGGCAATTCAGGCGTTTTCAAGAACCACGACTGCAGGATACTCTTGAATATACGTAGTGGTCCCGACGCTGACCCAGAGATGCCTCAATCTGTCTTTTTCAAGATGATTGAACCTCCGAAAATGCAGCATGAAGATGTCCTGCGATTTTCCTAGTCCTAGAAACAGAGACTCGAGCTTATGTGCAGTAAAGCAGGCCCAGGCATGAAGCCAAGTGTTGTAGGTCACCAAGTCAGGAAGGCAACTTGCCCCTTTTCAATCAACTCTATCGCCTTGGCCTCCTTGGCCTCCTTGGCCTCCTTGGCTTGTCCAGCACAAGCAGCAATGAAGGCAGTGTAGACAACAGTATCAGAAGCTACAGGACAAATTCAAGCTAATTAAGAAGTTGCAAGTTTATGATTTATGATTGCATATACAAGAGCCGCGCATTTGCTAACATTTGCTAACCATCTTGAAAAATTCGAGCTGATTTACCTTCAAAGACATGGTTCAGCCTTCCCCGCTTGCCACACGCGTCGAGTGCTGAGTTGAGGGTAGTGACAATCGGGGCTGCGCCGCATAAAGCTGCATCCTGGAAACGCCGGGTGAAAAATGGATTAAATCACAAGTAAACAAAATAAGCGTCATGAAAAAGGATTAAAAAGAGTCATACAGTCATACACAAAATTACACAAACACATACCTCCAAGGGACCAAAACGGGGGAAGAAAGATGATCCAAACGTCCGGTGCTCTGTCAGGTGGAATCAGCACCTGTGTGCAGCTAACCTGCTTGGCCATCCCATCTTTCTCTTTTCCGCAGTTTGTGTTTTGTGTTCATGGAGGTGTTATATGTTACACATACTCTATTCACATGAGGGTCAAGCTATGTCACGCCATGTATTATGTTATACGTCAAGTGAACTCAAACTGTAATTATATATATTAAAAAGTGTCTTCTGCATGCGTGCATGCACGTAGGATCACGTATGTGTGTAATGCGATCCAATGACATGCGATGTGATGTCATGGTCAAGTAATGTCATGTAGTGTCACGGAACGTATATAATGTAACGAAATGTAACCCAATGTGCTGCCATATCGCGGAATGTAATCCTTTGCATGGTCTGGCATGGGTTGAGCTGGCATGGTATCTGTGTGTATCAACGTAATTTCACATCTGGAAAAAAGCCCCTCCTGTGCTCTCCCTTGTTCCGACAAGTAAAATGTGCTAAACCGCGAAAACATGAGGTGTAAGGTACGGACAACAGCAGCAACAACACCGACACCACATCAACGCACAGCTCTGACAGCATTCCGGGTGTGCGAAGCTTTGCAATATTCATCTCTCGGCAGACATGACGACGTTATGAAAAAAGTAACAAATGATATTATAGAATGCGACATGGCGACATGGTATGATATCACAATATCTCGTGCCACCTGCTTTGCATTATATGTTTACATGAGGAAAGAATTGACGAGCCATCACCGAATAAACGGATCTATTTTCGCCGCTGCGATCGTTCATGGGAGAAGTTAAAACGCCAGAAGAATCAAGTCGTTCACCTCAGGGCACGACGCTCTAGCGGCACCAGAAAGCTTTGAAATATTTTGAAATCATGAAACATGTTGAAACACACCGCGGCAGTCCAGTCGGATGTCCAAGGCTTTCACCAGGCTGCGAACCGCTGGCGGCTTGTTCTGATGGGCGAGACACCGGAAAACATCCTGGAACAGTGGATCCATTTGAATCAACTTGTCAGAAGGACCCACAACCTAGATAAAAAGCAAAAGACCATTCTGTCCCGATTGATGCTGCATCCAAGGAGATACTGTATCCGGCTATTTGCTTTCAATGTGGAAGTTTCAGATTAAAGCAGCTGAGGTTAAGAGAAGTCTGTCTCAGATGTTATTACTTTAGCCACTAGTGCTGTCCTTGGCCTCAAAAAAGCATTGAACATATCTTTTCACCAAATATGTAGTACAAGGATGTAAAAGGGAACCAAATGGCATCGCCACGGCAAATCGGCATCATCAATTGCCAAGCTAGTGATGCTTACACTTTGTCAACCCTGGGATGGAGTTGGCATGGTCTCAAATCTATCCATTTGTTTTCAATGTCACCGTTCCAGATTCAGTCCTCTCTTCTCCTTTTGCTTGTGTCACTTAGCACTCAATTCTGTAGATAGTGCTGCCATGTATCTCTTAGACTCGCTTGCATCAAATGGATGTGCAGTGGAAAGTGCAGTGCAAGATCGGAGATGAACAGTATATAAAAAACACTTCCAGCTAGTTGGCTTGGGATAAAATGCGCATCTTCTTCAGTTTCTCGGACCCATTGCATCTCCATTCTGATGCAGTTTGCTTGTGCTTGTTGGTTATTATAGCTAATGTTGTACTGATATGACGCAATACGATGCAATACGATGCAATGCGCACTGAATGGATTCTGCGCTTCTACTACAGCCAGTTCGATGGAGGATGCAGCACCTTTGCTGCTGAAGGATTGCTGCTTGCAGACGGGAGTTGATGGTTCAGAATACATGCCCGCAAAATCAATACCGAAAAGGAGCCATCCATGGCAAGGATGGAAGAGTTTAGGAGTCCAGGGCAACCGTATTATGATCAATTATTCACCCACCAATCACGTTTTTGTATTCAATGTGTGGGTGAGGATGATGAAAGAATCTTGAATCATGATTCCGGTGTGATTCTGCCATAGTCAGTTATTGGCCAAGAGTTATTACCTTAGGCCAGCATCACTTTTTGAACCACCGCCTCAATTCAATTGGCGTTTGTTTTTTCCCTTGCCAGTACCTCATCAAACAGAATTTTCTGAAACCGATGCCATAGCAGCACAAGAGAATTATTGATACATTTTGTTGTGTGAATTTTGATTGGGTGACATATCAGTTCAGTTGATTTGTCATCGTGGGCCGCAGCTCCTGTCTCCCGGTGTCCCTGTCTCCTTGGTGTGAGACTGCCTGCGAAATACTGCGGTTATAAAAGGGAAACAAAGACCAAACCCTTGAGATTCCAAAGCTGAAGATGCTGTAGCACGTTTTTGTTCGCTTCTTGACGGAAGCGATGGCTGGGTTTGCTTGCTTGGCCCTTCAACAATACTTGAGTTAGCCTGCGGTCTCTGAGCATGCGGCACGAAAGGCAGCTTTGCTGGCCCTGTGTGGAGGTTTATTCCTCTCTCCACTGCATGCTTGGGGATTGTGGGGGTGGGGCTTCGCGGTTGGCTGTGTAGGAGGGCTTGTCTAAAGACCCGGGGACGGCTCGTGTGAACCTCATCTTGGCAGCGCCCGTGGGGGGAACCTCTGGTGACCCCTTTGAGGAAGCTTTGCTTCCGTGGCCTCAAGATTTTGAGTGCTGAGCCTATTTTTCTTGGCTGGGCCGGGCACACTTGCAAGATCTGGCGAGGACGAGTGAGACTCACAGCGAGTGAGCTTAGCCTAAGCCTTCTCTCGTGTTGCGGTTGGTGCTAGGCAAGCAAACCCAGCTTGAGCAACCGGTGGGGCGCGGGCAAAAACGGGCAGCGGCGTTGGAGGAAGAGGAATCTCAATGTTTTGGGCGGGGGTTTTGTTTTTTGTGTTGTCCGCTGCGCGCTCTTTCTCTTCCACCAGTTTGTCAATGTTTGTCACAGGTAATTTGTTTAGATGCCTCCAGCTGCATGATGTTAGTGCTTGACAAGCTGCCTTCCCGCTTCCATGATTTGTACGGCACTGCACTCTTTCCAATTTTATGACCTTTGGCAGTCAATATGACAGCTTGCACCATTTCGCATGCATGTCGTCAACCTACCATACATTGCATGACAAAAGTGCATTGAATGATGTCAGCGCATTGCATGACCTTACATTGCATGACACTGCATTGCATGACAGGGCATTGCATAACGTTGCATTGCATCACACTGCATTGCATGACAGCGTATTGTATGACAGTGCATGGCATGATGACACTGCATTGCATGATGTTGCATTGCATGACAGTGCATTGCATGACAGCACATTGTGTGACAGTGCATTGCATGATGACGATTCCCACATGTTGCATTGCATGACAACCCATTGTATGACCGTGCATTGCATGATGCTGCACTGTATGACGTTGCATTGCATGATACTGCATTGACAGCCCATTGTATGACAGTGCATGGCATGATGACAGCGCATTGCATGACGTTGCAATTGCATGACAGCGCATTGCATGACAGTGCATGACAGCACATTGTGAGACAGACGTTGCATTCCATCATGTTGCATTGCATGACAGCCCATTGTATGACACGGCATGGCATGATGACGTTGCATTGCATGACACTGCATTCCATGACAGCGCATTGTATGACAGTGCATAGCATGATGACAGTCCACTGCATGACATTGCATTCCATCATGTTGTCCTGCATGACAGCCCATTGTATAACAGTGCATGGCATGATGACAGCACACTGCATGACGTTGCATTCCATCATGTTGCACTGCATGACAGCACATTCTGTGACAGACGTTGCATTCCATCATGTTGCATTGCATGACAGCCCATTGTATGACAGTGCATGGCATAATGACAGTGCATTGCATGACGTTGCATCGCATGACACCGCATTCAATGACAGCGCGTTGTATCACAGTGCATGTCACAATG